GCTATATGGACAACTTATACTATAATTGGCTAATATATGCAATGTGTGGCCAACTAATAAAATAAGTGGTCAACATGTACAATATATGGCCAACTTATTGGCTAAGTTTTCAACCTATCAATTATCTACAAAGACTCATAAAGCCAAATCCATATCTATAAAGCTTCCAAAAAGTTCTTCTATAAGATATTATAAAATTTACTTATTTTAATTTCTACATAAATTTTCTTATCTTCTTCATTATTAATGCTATTGTTAATGATTGTGACACCTAAGATATACTTGTAAGCCCTTTTAAGAAACTTAGATGCTTAAAATCCTAACTTTCAAGTTTTGTATGACTATCTTTGCTATTCTTTTTTTAAAATAAATTCTTCTTCAAATATTTTAAAAAGCTACAATTATTAAATTTATAAAGATAATTTAGATTAAAAAAAGATTAGAAATTAAAAATTTGAGGTTTACAAACAAAAATTATAATAATTGATATTTATATCTTACAATTTTATTAGTGTTATTATATTATAATTTTTAAAAAATAATATTATTAATAATAAATATTATTTTTTTAATTTCAAAGATTTTTTTGGTATTCGAAATCCTATTCTATCATTTTTATAAAAAAATTATACTAATTTTTAATTTAAATTATATATATTTTAAAAAATTATAAAAAATATTTACAATAGTAATTTTAAAACTAATTTTTAATTAAAAATATAAAAATACATGATATGAAGGTTATTTCAAAATATTTTAATTTTTAAGTTGATTTAAAATATTTATCATTAATAGGATGTTAAGAGTATTTTAACTCAATGTCATTTTGAGTTGGTATTAATGAATTATTTCAATGTAAGATAACTATATGAAATGCACATATATATATATATATATATATATTCATTGAGATAAGAAGAATAAAATGATGTTTTAAGGATTAAAAAATATAAATGTATATGTATTCGTTATGATGTATATAACATTTTTTTTTGACCAAATTAGTTTAAACATGACCATCACAAATTCAAACATCTACATATTGTCATATGATAACTTGGGTATAACAGTTTATAACTTATAATTACACACCTTCAAATATTTCAAATAAACAAAGGCTGAGTATCACTATTGGTAGGAATTGGTAATTTGGTGATTCATTCCATGACTTCAACATCAAACAAAAATAACTGCAAATGAGGCAGCCTATGTGATAGATCGAAGTAATTGAAAGAAACAACCCCATGGGATTATGGACATGTTAGTATTAAGCTGTAGAACCAATTATAAAAAGCAACCATTCTGTCGTTCAAGGCCACACATTTACAACCGAAATCCTGGTGAGAATATATTTCCTGACAGAAAATGGATTCGGTGTAGAGAGGGAGGAGGAATCTGTTAATTCCGATGAGCGATAACTGTGAGTCTGCATGCGTGGATGGAATCGATGCGACGAGGCCCAGGCGCAGGAGGATGCAGCAAGCACCGGGATACATCGACAAGCAGTGGAGGGGTCTGGTGTCGGCGGAGCGATAGGAGGCAAGGACAGGAGGATGCAACGGGAGTTGAATGCCAAGCATCGCGAACTGTTGAATCATCGTTGAGCCATACAGGGCGATGTGAGGCGATGTGAGGCGCCGTGCACTGCGCTTCAGTTGCTGGAAGCGCTTTCATCAATGCAACAGGCTCACATCATTTCCTACTATACTGCGTTCCACTCCCCCACCCTGAAAAATGCAGTCTCGCAGCCTGCAGTACCGCATAGTCACATTCATGGACTTTACTGAGTCATAAGAGCCTTCAAAGCCTGCACTCCGTAGATTATCTGAATCAATCGGAGGCCCCCTTCGCCTGCATTTAAGGGAGCTCATTATGGAATTTTCGCGATGAAGTGCATGGGAAGACTGCAACGTGTGTCAGGGGAGGAAGAATGGAAACAAAATGAGACCAAATGAGCGGAATGATGTTGCATTCAATTGATGTCACTAGCACCAAGAGAAGATGTTCAACACGATGTGGCTCAGCCTTGTCGACTACGGAAGGATCGCATGGGCGTCGACAAAGGCGAAGATAAAGAAGACGCCTGACCAAACTCAAATGTTACTGGAAACTTTCCGACTCCAATGGTGTGTAAATGAGGTTGTGGCAACTATGGTCTCGGAAGCACCCCACTGGAGACTAGTAAGCCCCAGTATTGTGTGTTAAGAGTGGTTTAGTTGTAACTGTACCCAGTGGTGGCCGGTCCTGGGCAGCACGTCTGTATGTATATTTCTATCTGCAGTATAGAGTTTCTTTACTTTTGTCAAAAAATAAAAAAAACAAAAAAACACAAAAAAAAACAAAATGAGGCCAAGTGAAAGTTAGAAATAAAGAAAGACAGAAAATAATGCGTTTATGTTCTATTTTGTTGTGTGGGGTTTGTCCGGTCACAACGGTTTCACCTGAACTTTCGGAAAATATTTTTTAAGGCTTTATTCTACAGGCATAACCCATGTGATAGAATTGCGTCATGCTGTGATAACCCACACCTCTTCGTAATAGAATGATGTCATGCTGTGATAACCCACACCGCTTTGTAGTAGAATGATGTCATGCTGTGATAACCCACACCTCTTTGCAATAGTAATGTGTCATGCTTTAAATACACAAAAAGTATCTTTGTCATATCATATTATGTTTAATATTATTTTCAAATTCATATGATATGACCATGATTTTACTGCAAGAGTGAATTTTAAAAATATGTCTAAGAGAGTTTTTTTGTAATATTTGTACAAAGATATGTATTTTATATTTTACAATTTTAATGATCATATCATAGTCATATCATACTACTTTTGATATTACTTTTAAAACAATATGATATCACAATGTTGTAGAAAAAGGTAGGATGCTGGAGAATTCAATACCATGTATTTAGTGTTTTGGTTTTGATAAATATTTATGTTATCAAGTCAACTTTTTTGCTTTTATTGGTAGAGGATCTTAAAGTTATGAGCTTTTACTTCCCCCTTCACAGGAAAGTAATATTTGATGTCAATGGGTTTATTGTTTTATCTTAAAATTATTTATAGATTCACATTTAGCACATAAATCTAAGAGATAAATTAGAAAAAAAAAACATCTAAAGTACATCCATATATATATATAAATCAAAATATACTTCATTCTTATTTTGATTTAATGTAGTGATTAGATTATATATATATATATATATATATATATATATATATGTTAGTTTAAAATGATATTTCAGATATTTAATTTGCAAAGATAATGTATGCAAATAATTCCATAAAAAAACCAAAAAACCAAAAACAACAACTTCATTTTTTTTATGAATGAAAGATTCACATTACAATTCCTTTATTCTTACTGGAAGAAGCTTTAAACCACAAAACAAAGTTATATAAAATTCAAATTTTAAATTTCGTTTATAAAACAATATTTAATATGAATGATAGTGCAATTAAGAATGAAATTAACCAAGTTTCAGAAAATTGTTGCTATTATCAAAGCAAAGTATTTCTATCTACTTAAAAGTCTGAAATTAGCAAAGACCTTATAGCATTATCATAAGTAGAATATCTTGAAAAAAATTATAAAAAGTACAAGAAAAAGAACCAAATGTAGTATCTATGTTTTTATTAAATAATAAGATGTGGGTTTTGCCTTGAAAAAGTATGTTCATAGAATTGCAAAGATTGGTATGCACAAGAACACAGACTATGGCAATATAAGCTAGCAAGTGAACAAAAGAAAAGACATAACTGTGTGTTCCAAATGCACAACCTTTATAAAATAAAAAGTCAGTTGAATGAAATAGGTTTGACTACTGCAAGGAAATTAGCCACTGTTGTATACATATTGTATAATATGAAATAACAGATGCATGAGTGCCATTGATGGATGAGAGATATAACAAGATTTTTTAGAAATAGACTTAAAAAAATAGATGCGGTATTGAAACAAGAGAAGCATTGTCATTACTTTCTATTGCAACAAAACCAGGAGATAAAAAAACGTGGTTGTATTTAGATAACTACTCTGTATTAGAAAGAAATTAGAAAATACTTAGATACAGTATGGTAAGTAGGAGGATAAAAAAGGAATATTTGGAGTAGGTAGGTAGTGATAAAATAATGAGGTAGATACTAAGTATACCAAACAAAGGTACAACTAAACGTATTTTTGAATCATTGAATAATTATGAATCAATACATAAAGATTGTTTTACCTGACAGAATATCTCTCTTTTTTTTAATTACAATTTTTAAAACTTCAAAACACTTCAAAAAATAGAAAAAAGTTGAACTGGTCTACTCCATGTACCACAGGTGTAAGGAACAAGGAGAAAAATATCTTAACAGTTTGGGTGGTGCTTTAAAAGGTAGTCAGTTAATGCAAAATGTTTCCAGTATTACTTCTCAAATCAAACATTTAAACTAATAATAATAAATTAAATTAAATTAAATTCTTGTATTGTAAAGTATTTCCAAAATAAGTACTTCTCATACAATATAGGTAAATAGAGAAGAAAACAACTCATTTGCATAACTGTGTTTTATGTACTTTCCAGAATAACGCTTTTACACAACCTGGAGATCTCCAAAGTCTTTATCGAAAGACACAGCTTGTGAACCCACCCCTTCATTTGTGAAGTATCAAGTGATATTTCGTTGTATCACAAGATACTTCGACATCACGGGTGAAATATCACCCGAAAAGGCCATGTTTGAGTATCACACAATTTTGTACCCCCCCCCCCCCATTATGAAAGAGCGTGACCTTCTGATAGAATTGGCTATTAACCTCATTAGACTACCAACAATGTACGGATAAAGTGGCACTGGCAGCTGCTAAACATTAAGATTACATTCCCTGTACTAATCAATAATCATGAACTGGAACAGATGCTACGGAACAGTTGAATCCAGTTCTCTGGCTGTGGGTATAACTTCGGCCACTAGCCTAGCTCTAGACACTGTAGAGTTTGCAACTGAACCCAACTGCTCTATACATCCTAGTCGGGTAGAGTGTAGCAGCAACATGATCTTTTGAGTAAGTGGGTTGCATGCGTTACCAGCAAGTGGCGGTGAAGCTCCTACGGCAGAATCATGTGCTGCAGCTGAACTTAGGGGTGTGATCATCAAGCTGTGCGGTAAATCGTATCGTTCGAAATTGATCTGGGTCAAGAAAGAAGGCGTAGACTTGTGATTAAAAGATTTTTACCTTGCTAGAATGTTGGTACTTGTTGGTGATTCTGAGTTCGCGGTGCTAATGTTGTTGGCGGTGGGATTTGGAGTGGTATCAGAATGAAGGCTATTCAGCCCGGCGCTTGGACAAAATTCCCATGGCACAGTATGGGAGACTGCAAGGTAAGTATATCATGGTAGAACACAGACGTGTGTTGCGTTCTGAGCTTCTTAACCCTTTCCCTTTATGATTGATATGTGATTTGGAACGTTAACAACGCCTTCTCTATGTTAACATGCATAAGTCCTCATGCATCACCATTTCTACTGTATGAGATTTACGGTGGTGTCATAATGAGCCATGTGGTTTTGAATTGTAAGTAACCCTGGATGTGAGTCGATGCAGTATCTACTGTATTTATCACTTGTGGGGAGGCTACTATACGGATTGATCAGGGAAGACAGAGGCCGCTACGATCTCTATTTTCACGTGCTCCTTCTTGCTGTTCTGCGTCATTTCTTCGGACAATTGGGTATCAGCTTGTCCCGATGGCCCTACCTCAGCAGCAGATACCAAATTCAAAAGAAAGGATTCTCATTCGATGCTGTGGATCTCTCCAGCAACTGGTAAGCTGCTTCAATCTCTAAAACTGCCTTCAATCCTCCCCCATTCTGAAGCTCCTGATCGCATGATCAACTCAACCAATCTACAACTCTGAAATTATTCTTGTCCCGGCTACTGACTAATCTTGTGGCTAGCTAAACATTTTTAGATCTCCCCGTCCGGCTGCAGGGATGATTACATTATATTGGACACGCTCCTCCTCTCGGTTACAGTGATGATACCGATGTTCGGCAATCGCTATTACCCGCCGTGGGACTGGACAGGACTAGTGATCTGTGCACTGCTGCACATGGGTCCTGCGGAGGCCATCTACTACTGGCTTCACCGCGCTCTCCATGGCCATTACCTCTACACTCGCTACCATTCCCATCACCATTCCCTGTTCGTCACCGAAGCCAACTCAGGTACCTTGATCCATTGCCCTCGACTGCCTTGCTCAAGCAAATAACCAGCTACCTTAGGGAACAACCATGCAATACATTTAATACACTGATTACAGGGACGGTGCACCCATTTCTGGAGCATCTCATGTACGCCTCCAACTTCGCCATCCCATTGTTTGGAACGTGGGCGCTGGGGAGATTTTCTATTAGCACGCTCTACGTCTACACCCTGACGTTCGACACTCTGAACGCCATCGGGCACTGCAACGTCGAGTTCGTCCCCAGTTGGCTGTTCGATGCGTTTCCACCTCTTAAGTATCTCATCTACACCCCATCATACCATTCTCTGCACCACTCCCAGGTGCACACCAACTTCTGCCTCTTCATGCCAATCTACGACTACTGGGGCGGGACGATGGACAAGAATTCGGATGCTCTGTACCGATCCGTCCGGCGAAGCGACTCCCAGGAGCGCGCGGACAACGTATACTTGACCCATGGGATGGACTTGTTGCACATGATGCATGTTACGCTTGGAATTCAGTCCTTCGCGGCGACACCGTATAAAGGTCCGAATTGGCGGTTGTGGCTCCTTTACCCTCTCGCCCTGATAGCAATGCCTCTCCTCTGGATCCTTGGGCAGCCGTTTGCGGCTGACAAGTATTGGATCCCTCGTACTCTACGGGGTGAGACTTGGCTTATCCCCCGTTACCGTTTCCATTACTCGCTTCCTGTCGAGAAGGTCCGAATCAATGCCCTGATCGAACAGGCGATTGTCATGGCGGAAGATGAAGGGTGCCGCGTCGTCAGCCTTGGCCAGCTAAACAAGGAGATGAGATTGAATGGGTCCGGCGCTGCAATTGTAGTACGCAATCCTCATCTAAAAGTCCGTATCGTGACGGGACTCACTCTGACAGCCGCAGTTGTCATCAACCGATTGCCCAAACAAACGAAAGAGGTCTTTTTGGTTGGATCCTCTGATCTCATCCGCTCAGTCGAGATCTATCTAGTTAGACGAGGCGTGCGTGTCTTAGTGCTGACGAATTCCCCACGATACTTCGGGAGTACTCAACCCAAAGTAACAAAGGTTAACCAGCAGCTTATCGTGAACGTGATGAGCTTCCAAGAGGGACAGCATTGCCGGGAGTGGATACTGGATGAGTACGTCGAAGGCAAGGACCTGAAGTGGGCTCCTCCAGGAGCTGATCTTCACCATGTGTGCCAAGGGAGCAAACCTTTACCCCGAACGCGGAAAGATTGCACCTACGCAATGTATCCTGCAATGCACGTACCCAAGAGTATGAAAGGGCTGCGGTCTTGCGAAGGGGGGTTGCCACGCGGGGTGATAAGTGCTAGTCATGCTGCGGGGGTGGTGCATTCCTTGGAGAAGTGGACGCATAACGAAGTAGGTCCTATTGATGTTGAGCGCATTGATACCGTTTGGGCGGCTGCCTTGAAACATGGCTTCCAGATGGCCGTTTAAGTTAATGCGTGCTTGTTTATCGCTAAACCAGCCCCTTAATTCGCAGAACATTGATGCAGTGGAATACTATCCATATGAATTCCAAAAATTAAGTTCCTATGGAGGAAAACTATAACTTGAAGTGTCAAAAATGGATTTCCATAGTTATGTACATGTTCTCATAGTTAAACTGCCTGAACAATTCAGTACTTTATCATATTCCTAAGACGCATCTAAACCTAGCAATGGTCACTGCTCCTCATTCAATTTCCAATCTAACATGGAGCGCAAAACCCCAGATGTCCACAGAGTTAACAGTAGCCACAACTCATTTCCACATGGTACTATTCGGATTCCTTGTGGCAAAAATAACCTTACAGAGAGGGGATGACGAATGAAATGCCCTTTCTCACATAAGCTAGACTACCAACTATCAACTCCGCTGATCCGTTGTGTCAATGTGTAAAAACCTGGTAAATTTCCCTCCAACACTACTGATCCAGTTGTGGTAGCGAAGTGAAAAATAAATAAAATAAAATAATATTGTGTCGTATGGTTCAGAGGACTCTCGAAGAGTGTCGAGAATTATGTAGGATGAGCGTGTCCGAGTCAAAACCTGCTGTCAACCACAAGCGCCTCACCTGTGCATATCCCACCAAGCATCAGAATGCGTGGCAGAACTTCGGAGCTCTCCATTTGTGGTACTTTGCAGTTACTGCATCAAATTGGCAGTTGGAAAAGACAAATTCAACCACATGAAAGCAGGAATTAACGCTACCAACCATCGCTCACCTCATTCAATCGAAGCTTGCTCAGATGTAGTAATTGACAACGCCTCAACAACATGTCCTCCTGCCACAACCAGCCATTATTAACAGTCCATGGACTCAAAAGCACCAAAACAAAAAGGGGGGGAGGGGGGAGGTCAGGTGAAAAGGGGTTAGAACATGGAGGAGTAAAACATACTGGCTCATCAGATGAGTCCGATTCGTCTTGCCGTTCTCCACACGCACCCTAATACCAACTCAGCAACTCAGCTAGATTCGATCTACAGATGCTCCCTCAAATAAGATAGAAATACGAACGGAAATACCATCGCCATAAGATAGATTTCTCAGTACTTTCTGCTAAGGTCATGCTGAAGGCAAGACGTCCAGATTCAAATTCTAAATATACCCATCCAGTGCTGTATGAATACGAAGAACCAACCTCTCCGTATTGATCCAAGTAAATGGAATGTGCCATGCAGACTCGACCGCCACGAATGAGCACCAACTGTGTCGAGTGCATGAATAAAAATATTCCAATCCCGCAACCCTCTGAAAGAGAAAAACAGAGAGGTATACTTCACCTTGAGCTTACAGTAAGCTGTTGCTGGACACTAGGAATAAGATGCAACCTAAAAACGAAACCCACCTGTTGGGCCATTTTCGAAGACTTCAAACATGATTCAATAATTCAATGATTCTTGAAGCACAGAGGAATGAATTGCAATACAATCAGTTTAACCAGGTTTGCGAGAGGTCATTACCAGATTCAGCATGACGTGAGCATTCCTCCATATTTTCCTTCGTGCAACACTCACTGGCAAAGCAAAAGAAGACACCGCATACGAGGCAAATTGCCGGATTCCTACAGACAAGAACAAGTTCGCAGTCACATCTTAAATGGTTATAAGAAAAACTACCCCATGGGGAAGGGTCTAGAAAAGAGGAAACGTTGCTTTCGATACTCGTCACAAAGTACCAGAGAGTATACTGTGGTCACATTTTTTGTGCATCAGACAATGTGATCAATGACCCAGAATTCATCATTTTCAGCGGTCATCACACTGTAGACTAAAGCTTGTAGGCATACAGATGGAGATTGAAAATCGTTGGAAACCATCCAACTCATCATTGCTTCCATGAATCCAGCACTTTTACTCAGTTCATGCCTAAAGTTTAACGTTTGATACACAGTATTGAGAGATCACAACATGAATCGATGATTTTCTGCACCTATGGTTTCTCCAAGTAACCACTTACAATGGTACAGAGTCGCATTCCTTGCACTTCTCATTAATACTCCGCAGCATTAGATCCTGATATTCCACAAGTCCATTCCGTGAGTACAAAACGCTTTTACTTACAAATTCTTTGAAGGGAATTAACTATGAGTATTTAAAGCTTCTCTGTGCAAAGAATTCAAGATGTGAAAAACTACACGGCATGTATTACGTTACTTTGAACAAAAGCTTTAAAGAAACCCACCAAATTCAAAGATTTAAAACGTGTAGGAGCTCATAAACTGACCTGGTAAACTGAAGGCAATGTTGTAAAATGCAAATCTTTGGGTACTTCCATCAGAATCAACTTTGAGTCCTTGTTCAGAAGATTCTGTTGAACACAAGCAGACATACCATCTTCACATCTTAAATGATGGCTCTGGAGGACACGAACGTATTTCTATTGACAAGCTACCCCAATTTATATGTGCAATTATTTTTGTCCTCGTCTTTGATCCATTCTAACTCTGTAAAGGTTTGCTCACTCACATGATCAAAACGCAGTTGTTGTAACAAAGACGTTTCTCCCGAAGTTGCCGCAAAATTATCAACTTCTGTACACGAGATCACAAGCCCAGCCATTCAGTACAAAACAACCTAAAACATAGGAGCTTTGACGATTTTTCATAACAACGACCGGTCATCATGTGGGCCTAAATCTTAAATGAGATTCGGATGGCTGTGCACCTGGAGCAGAAACAGCATCTCCCGAAAACTTAAATAATTAACCAGTTATAAATTATGATGAGAAACGTGAACCTGAAATGCTTGTGAAAAACATTTTGTGACATTCTGCAAGGCCCAACTCCCGTTGCAGGTACGAAGCATCCATCACGCTCCTCCCTGCACAGTAAAGATTACCTTTCAATGCTTCCTATCAAAGAAGTGTTTCTATCAATATGAATAGCAGAACCTTCGTAAATCTCCAGAAGAAAGTGCATCATATAGAGTATCCGCATATTATGTGAAATTATAGAATATTCGCTTGTAAGAGCATTTCCACGGTGTGTCACAAATGTTAAGAGGTTCCCATGTACCCGAAAGGTCTTACCTAGACCAGCATAGTTTTGCTTGCAATCCGCACCAACAGTGATTTGAACCTATAGATGCATCAAACCGCAAACATTCAAACCATCATATGTAACCAATAATTACAATGGCGCATAGGATGACATTGTTATGAACGCATAACACCCGATGGCAATCCAAAACAAGGCCAACGAAAAGAACATGAGAATGTGAGACGCCTTGAGCTCCACACATTTCAAATTAATTTAATAACATTGTAGTCTATAAAAACTTTCCAATTTGCTCAAATCAAACGCGACAATCCTTGCATAGTCCAGGAATATAAAAGCAATTTCTTATATAAGGTATGTATGAAAGTTCAGAAAAGCATGAAAATGAACTGGGAAAGATTAAGACCAGCAACGCTGCTCTCCGCAAGAACGGCAAGCATGTGTGTTGAACGACACCACCCCATTCTTTTTCCAAGTCAAGCACGTTGATGCTGGCATTACCCTCCAGTCCAGAACAGGCTAGCAAAACCTGAATCAAAGTCACCACGTACGAAAATTTAACTAGAAGCAGAATTTCTTCTGCTTTAGGCCATCCTGGAAAAGCCTGCAAAACGAAAACAGGCCCACTGAAGAACTTAGAAAAAGTACCCGAAAGTATTAACCTAAAAATCAAACAACTGACAACTTCGTCAAGAGTACTACCAAATCAAGCGATCCACAAACATTTCGAAAGTGGACAATACTCACACTCAGGATCACAACGAGAAGTCGAAACGGATCTGCATTAAATAAACTGCCAATTTGTAAGAATGAGCTCCTATCCAAATCCATTGGAACGAGAACAGGTTCATCCAAATATTCAGGATCTGGCGGCATCCTGCAAGAAATGCCCTTAATCCGTGTTGTGACATAGTCTTCTCCTTTCGTTTCCATGTCATCACATGGTGCAACCCCTTCATCCATCCCTCTTCTTCTGAAAAATTCCGGCCTTGGAGGCTCTGATCGTGTCCACCGCATAGGATGACGTTGCTGCCCATGAGGGCTATCCCTGTGCATAGATAGAGATGTACACCCATTTGTACATGGTCTGTGTAGTGCCTCCACTGTTCCATTTGACTGGCAGAATTCCTCCTTTCTTCTACAGTTCTCCAGCTCTTCCGGGTCAAGAGTTTCCTCCATTATATTCAGATGTCTGATAAGAACACTACGCACAGAGGTGAAAAGAATTCTGAGATATTCGTTCTGACTGGAAATTTCCTCGTTTTGCAAAAACTGTGAAATTTTGGTTAACATGTTCTTGATCGTCTCCCTTTTGGTCGTCATCTCTTGTCCTGTAGGCACAAAAAAAATTACTCGTGTTAGCTGGGTCGACGTGATGAAATGTCACGGTGCATGAACTGATATTTCCATATACTGGCGATCAATACATTTTCCGATGGTGCAAATAAATATCTTTTAACCACATTTTTTCATAGCACCGTCCTAAGCCCGTCTGATAATATCTCTAGACGTAATTTTGCAAGTCTAGTCACTACACATTCACAACTCCCAAATTCTGAGCACGTTACACAAATGTACATGCTCATTTCTCTTGTTGAAGATATTACTTCAGAACCATCATGAATTATGTCGTGATTCTTTGCGGATCGCTTGAATTGAAAAAAGCTGTACCATTATCAAGGGTATTAAAAACCATTGCTAGTTTTCCCAGCTCCCGAATGGCAATCCAATGCCCTGCATCTCCACCCCACAAGCGCTGATCACTTGGCTGATTCATGGCTGCGGAAGATGAAGCAACTTCCGGAAGCTTCTCTCTGGTCTCCACTTCACAGTGGGTAATGTTTGAAGCAAAAACTTCCCAAAATACCTGGAAAAGGCATCGCACGTCACGCTCAGATGGTTAAAACAACACATTTGATAGTTTACAATAGTACAATTGTGGCGATCGCTGATGCTAAATATCAAGGAAAAAATCACCTCATTGTCAAAAAAAAAAAATTAAAATCAACGGTTAAAAACTAAATGAGAAAATCCTAATAACCTTGTGAATTCTTTGGATTAAAAAATACAAAATCATGAAAAGCAAAAGCATATTGTGTTCAGTGTGGAAATGCACCACACGCAAATAAATAACGTTGAAAGAAACTCTAAAAAGTAGTCTAGCACCTGCTTCTCACATCACATTCTTATCACTTACAGGGCTTTTCGGTAAATCTTTTGATTCCACTTCTTTCAGAAAATTATACCTTACATTCAAACTCTGCCACAAGGCCACAACCCTTAGGTAAGCAACCCATCACTTCCATAATCATTCACTTGTGATAGGAAGGAACCCCCATTGAGTCAATGGAACCACCAAGATAAAGCTCAGAAATAACAATTGAATTATCATACATGTAATCGCTCTAGTGTACAACAAAACTTGAACGTATGCTACTCGCAAACATGATAAGTAGTGTGTATAGTTACTTGGATAGCAAAATGATCTAAAGCTCCACGTAGGTTGTTGCACTTGTCCCAAAACTTCACCCAATGCTCTCTTTGGTTCTCTAGATCATCATTTACACAAAATTGCAGCATTTTCGACAAACTTGGTTGATGCACAATAGGAAGTAGCACATTTGCCAGTCGACGACAAATTGGGCAGAGGAACTCTGTCTTGGGAAGATCAATGATATCTTTACCTGAAACCACATTCCACCGGCATTTGTTCCAAAAATAGGTGTTTCTCATAGTATTTCAAACTATGAATAGAGAGTTCATAAACGACTCTGCTCATAGGAAGCCTTTACAACCTTACACACATTGATTCATAGATATTTCGTCTAAATCTTACTGTATCGCACTAATTTAATACTTCCAAACTATTAGCCACTAGAGAAAAGCACACATCGACAAAGATATATGTGTTTTTCGAAACTAAGCATCAAAAAACACAATATGAATCTCACTAAGTTATTCAGCCCATTACCTTCATAGGTTATCTCGCTACAATGGCTTTTTACAAGAGAAGCATGGTAACTTTGAAAGCACTCCTGATGCATCTGCAATTTAAGTCAAAACAAAACATTTGAGGTTCCGTAACAGATTGGCTGAAAAGTGACTAACACATTGTACAAGATTCCACGACGAAGAGTTATATAGAGCGTACATCGTGGTTCTCAACCAATACCAAATGGACTATTGAATCACCCGACAACATTACTTCAAATGCATTGAATTCACTTCAAGCTTGAATCACGTCCACGTCTATTACAGCCCAAGACTGGCATGGAACAAAGAGTCATTTGTGAACTACTCCTAACACCGACTAGTGAACAAGAAGAGAACACAGCGAGTAAATCACGGCCACAATACCTGATGACCACAACAGCGGACATGCTCCGCAGGTATTTGATCGATCATATTTTCTTCCATAAAAACAACCAATTGCTTGACATCTGAACCGTTTGATGAATTGCCGTACTCTGATACGTTGGCCATTTGCACAATAGCCTCGGCATGCGCTTTGCTGTTTACTTCCTTTCTCTTCTCTATGACATGTTTTGGCATATTGTAACGTTGCACAAAAGCGATCCACCCTGTTGATTTGTCACTACCACCACACTAGAAAGAACAATGGAGGAAGAAGTCACAGTAAGTTTTTGAACTTCAAAGATTCGAATGAAAGAGCTTAATTGATTTTATATGCTCAACCTAAACAATAACAAAGACAAATGGGTAACGGTGTCCCTGCAATAGGAGTTGCAAATAACAGTAACAAAGACTAAAAAATAGTTGCCATGTAGGATTGAACTGCAAAACAACTATTCCTGCATGGAAATTATTCGAGATCATTAAGTGCATTGAAAACAGAACCTGTAGGTAAGAAAGTTACCTCGGTCCGACAGAATGCACACTCATAGATTTCACTTGACTTCACGGCAGCTTTTCCACTTTTCGTACCAATGCTAGAATATTCTGTTGAAGGGTCCTCAGAACTACTCCCTGATTCTAAATTATTGTCTGAGAAACTGGGACCGTCATTTTCGTCCTCATCGCTGACTTCAAATTGCTCCAAGAATGCATTCTGCCTGTCACGATGAGCACAATAATCGTTTGAAAACTGAAGGGCCTCAGCAAGATGTGCTGAAGTGTAGCCAAATACATGCTAAGTGATCATAAATATTGCTAATATTTGAGTAATTATGTCCACTTTAGGTGTTTCACACTACATAGAATGCACAAAGCAAGAACATCCAAGACTATGCAAAGCGAAAACGCAATAAAACAACAGAAGAACGCTTTTATGTACAAATGATTAGAGTATGCAATCCAGAGTTTCAGAAGAAAGGTCAATGAAGATCTTGGTTTCAGACATACTTGGCTTTAAATTGAGCCATGATAGCTTCCTGCCGTTGTTTCTTTTGAAGTCGTTCGTCATCGTGTGCGGTATCAACTCGATCCTGTCAAATATGGAAAGTAATTGAGCACGTAAGCTCAACAAAAATCGGAACACTAGCCAAGCATAACCTGTCAACTGCGTCACTAACTTCACCAACGAAACTGTAATTGTGACATTACAGTTGAAATCCCTCATCCACAGTTCTCACAATACACAACTTAAGAACATTTCTACTAACATCTGGAGAGCAGAAAATTGCAGCCTAAAGTTAACACACTGGTACATCATACTGTAGTCTCAGAAAGCCTCTGCACACGAGTGGTTTAGAATAAGGTCATCTAACCAACATATCCACCAAGAATCGCTATCTACCTTGACGAGATGCAACCTAAATGCAATGCCACCATGGCACTGATTCGAATTCCTGTTCATGTTTTTCTGAGTCTACAACTAACACTTAATATGAGTTTTTAATGGTCAAGTTCAAATTTAGTTGCATGCTTCTGCGAACAAGAGAAGTAAAAAGATACCCTGCTAATTGGAGGACCTAAAACATAACACATGAACACCTGGGACAAAGAGAAATTACGTGTGCTTTGGGCAAAAGTGCCACCTTTGTTGGCAAAACCCCACCCATTACGAAATATGGAGACGCCGTTAGAAGCTGTGTTACAAAGTGCGCAGAGTCAACCAATCCTGAACATTGAAATACTATGTTAACATTACGCCTCCCGAGGTAGAGTTACTAGTAATCATATTAATTAATACAAAGTCCTCGTCCACCCACTAGAAATTTCACCTTGCGACTGTCTGCCATACTCACATTCTCCAATGCAAATTATGATGGGTAAGGATCAGAAGTCATCTTACGAGGAGCATTCGTCACATCTTGCAATTTGCGGAGCAAATCCAATATACAAGGAGACTCTGACTGACAAATTTTCCACTCCATAACCCTGGTGTTTTGGTTAAATTGAGGTCTGCGATAAACATTATAGAAGATGTCGATGGAGGAGGCGGGATGTGATTGCAAAGTCTCTGCGGGAACAGGAAATTTTTCTGGATTATCTCTGCAAGCAAAATGAACTGATTAGCAAATTCGATACAAAAACATAAGCGAAGTACAGCGCTGAGAGGTTTAATTTGCTCTTTTAAAAACCTACTTGCCCTGCCTGTGCCAGCAGTGAACCGAAGAAATCTTGCAGTTACAAACCTAGACATGCTAGTTCCCAAGTAATCGTAAAATCTAACCGACCCAATACTACAAAGGACAGATAATAATTGCAAAAGGTACACAGATCAACGCTAGTGTAAAAATGGTCGAATGAACCATCACGGCAGAATTATTTATTGAGAAACATCTAGTGCATTGAGATGTACCTGCGATCCAAAAGTGCTAGTCCCAACATTTGCAAGGCTACAACCCCAAGTGATTCACCAGCAGTGGATGTAGAAACATTCATAAGCAGAGCGCTGACATAGTTCAACACGTTCCATAAAAGCTGATGGCACTCCTATCAATCCATAATATGCATTATCCCCCCGAGCAATATAGCATCAGTTGATTTCGGGGGTTTTTAAAATATACACGCTACAAAGCACTTCATAGAAAGAAACCATGAAGACAGCATACATGTGGATCTGAGTCTTTGTGAACATATATATATATATATATATATATATATATATACACACACACACACACCTTTCCAGCGTAGACCTACTCGAATACCCATTATTACTCGAAACCAAGACAATTCCAAGCAGCATGGCGGCATAACTGATATGTTTGCGTAGAAGTTCATAAGACCAGAAATAGAAAGAAAGTTATTCGCAATAGAGCTCAACAATTTGGAAGCATCTCAGCATCTCAGCGGACAGTTTGGAAGCAAACCTTGATAATAACTCAAGGACTATACCTCTGTATGGAGAAGATTGATGAGACGATTGTAGGGCGGCTTCACACCCCTCAAAGATCGAATTCGCCAATAATGTGGCAGTTTCCCGATGTGCACCGCTCTTTCCTGTACGGTTCCCAGGTTGTGTCATCAGGATAGTCTTTGGCTAATTGCACTAAGAGAACGTGGACTATGAATCACTTCGATGGTTATGCAATCGGAGAACTAGGCAAAAGTACTCCAGGATGTGATAAACCCCTGAAGAACCTACACACATGTGGAGTGCCCGCAAAAACCTCAAAGAATCGGACATGAATGGCGAACCCCAGTGTCGAAGTCTGCTAACTTGTGCAAACTTCTTTTCTGCTTGCAGATAGGTGCATAAAAGAACCATTTCCTATTCCAAAATGAGCATAAAAAGCTTATGGGAAAGTAGGTCATTGCTATGCCGCAGATACTACAGCATACTTCCTTACCTGAGCATCTTCGAGTTCGTTTAAATAAAAATGGGCAAACAGCGGATCAAATTCTTGCCAGCACTCAGCTTTCAACTCGAAATACCCTTGCTCTTGAATCTGGCCATGAGAAAAGGCGCATCAGATAACTTCAATGAATCCACGTCAGTTTCAAATGATATACAAGTCCAGACTTGACACATTGCAGATCAACTACCTGTGTATCGCCTTTGTGCAAGATTTCACATAAAATGGATTATGGTATTCTCATTTGGACCGTGAGAAGTTCCAGCAAGAGATTATAAGAATATGATTGATGAAACAGTTACCCTAGGAGAGTGGAAATAGGCCACTTTATCCAAAATTTCTCTCAATTTTTTATCATCCACTGGAGTTGCAGTCAGAGCACGACAGAGCTGACACGGAAAACACGTAGAAAGATTGGAAGTGTTAGTAATAGAGGCCATAAGATACGTTATCAAGCAGAAAAATCAACTTATATGTTGAATCCATAAGCTTTAGAGGCTTGGGTCTACTACACAAGGGCAAGATAACGGAAACCTCACCTGGGAATACGTCTGATTCTTCACACAAAGCCACTGGATAACATCGTAACGGAGACAGTCCATCTATAACCGAGAAGCAAAATACCGTCCAATAATTTCAACAACCCAGAACTAAACATGATGTGCAGGTAACGGTACAGAACAGAAACAGAAACTCTAGAAGTCGTATCAAAGAATGGAAAGAATGGAAAGAAAAGATTGTCAACATATACTGCTTGTGCTTTGGACACTGTAAATATTTAATATCGACGATGTGGACAACAATACGATTGAATTACAGATGCTGAACTCAGCATGGTTCCATCAAGAGACACGGAAATTTCTCACCTCCTCCAATCCCGTGTTGCGACGTTCACGAACAACCTGAAGGATATGAATCATATCAAGACGATATTTTTCTTCAGAAATATTTATTCACAAGAGGAAAATAAAAAAATCCGACACAATCAAAGCTCAAGACCACCTCGTCCTTGCCTAAACTCTAGTTCCTGCTGCCACTAGTGTCAGAGTATCAGTGACAAATAGAAAACAAGGCTCTAAATGGAACTGCTTATGAATGCACTGAACATCCTAGGATATCGATTTCTGGTCTTAAATCGATTATTGTGAATAATCTACAGTATTCTTTGCAAATGGCAATTGTTCATCAATGTCTCACTGTAATCTTTCAGCGGAAGACTAGTTCCTAAACAGGGACACAACTTAACTTTCAAATTGAGAAGTAACGAAAACGTTGAATATTTTAATGTTGTCAGATAACCATACAAAACTTTGTATCACAATAACTTACAAAATTTTCAAACCTCACAAGAGCACCTCTACTAGAATGCTTTATGAAGCACCGAGACTTCTGAACATGACAACTATCTCTGCACTATCTCAATGGACAGCGGTCGAGTTTACAATAATTTCAAGGATCTGTTTTGATAACTTCGGTAAAAATGAATTGCAAAACTGTAAAGGGGGAAGGTGGTTCACCAGCAAAACTAGTTTAATGAAATCGTGCACCAAAAGAAATTTTTCTCCTTCATTTTCATTCAGGGGAGTGGACACTAGCTCCTTAAGCTGTCAAGAAAATTAGAAATGTTAGTAATAATACTCAACACAAAGGTGGGTCTGCAGATAGAAAAGAGACTACACAACTTAGCAAAGCACTACGACTTGGATAGCCAGGCACGGATTTCCAGTATATTAACCACTCCTTCAACTAGTGATCCACGGACAGTAAAACCCAACGTCATAGTCGGAATACCTCAAAGCGCTCGGCCATACGCATAAATGCAGCACGCTCCATGTTTTCACGAGCCACAGTACAGAATTGCAACAACAAGATATCCATATCCATTGACCTAAGCTTGACAAATACGATTTCACTTAGTAAATGTAATAGAAAATGCAGAGATTAGTGATCTTGACTAAGTCATGCGCCAGAACAGATGACAACGCAAGCATCTATAAGTCTTCCTGCGTATTTACTCCAATATATGCACTGAACCTTTTCAAGAAAATATGCTGAGTCCTAAATCACCCCAAGATGCTATACACCTTGTTCCAATCCTATCCAGATAATGTTGATTTTATCGGCATTATTAACTTAGAATGTACATTCTCGTGAAAATCGAAATCTGGACACTGGACCATAGTCCAGGGTGTGTGACGGAAAAGATCCTAGTCCTATCTCTCAGGACTCTAATCCCAAAACGCAACGGTAATAGTGATTTGGATCCCTCCCATCGGAGCTGCTTTGGAGCACATACTTCTTGAATTAAACCATGCTTTCATTTCCCTTACTTCAGCCAAAGCAGTTCAGCAGGCACTGCATGTTGTGTTGCGATAGTAACTTACTGATCATGCCAAAAGCTTCCACGATATATTAGCTCCAAACGATTGAGTTCACCAGACACGTCGGTCCATCGATTCGCTCGAATCTACCATGAAAAACAGTATCAATAGAGTTACCTACTGGAGAAGAGGGAAATGGATTACAGTTTAAGGCTTTCAAACCATGAGTTATCAGAATAAAGTTATGAAAATCTAACACTATTCTCAAAGTTGCTCCACTGTTGTTAACACTCCAACGCATGAAACCATACAATCCAAAATAAAATTCTGATTAACACTATCCCAAGGTTGGTTACAAGAACTCAATATGTTCGAGGACAGAAAATATATGAATCAAAACAACAGACGTAGCCAGCCACCTGTGCCGTCCAGACCACTATGCGCAAAGGATGCTCCATCAATGCAAGCACCTGATCAGTCATGAACATGTTTAGGAGCAGGGACAACAATAAGATCATGAAAACCCAAAAACGCAACTTCTATTGCAGATTTTACTGCGGAAGATAAGATCATCAGCAGCTGAAATTTAAATAATCGGAGAACCATCTCTATCACACCTCAAAGTTGCAGAACACAAGTAATTCAAATTCTTTAACTGCCAGAGAGATTCAAACATTAATAGAACCCTTGCACTAGTGGAATACTTGGAACATACCTCCTGTTCTGAATAGTTCAGATTCAAACTAGAGAGAAATCCGTCGTTGACATCTTTCCAAGGAAACAGCACAAGCTTTGCTAATACGACACTCAACGTCCTGTGTAAAGGGACATGGAGGGATACGGGAGCACTGTGGGCTGTACTACTCAAGAATTTTAAAGTTGATTCCTGCACGTAACAGTATCAATGTGGGCATAAATGTCAACTCCTACCCAGAATTTATTTCCTGGGGAGCTCCATACAACGTTAAGCAGTAGAAAAATCTAAATTGTTCCAAAAAGCACTACGATGATTCCAAATTTCAGGAAGAAGAAACCAAAGAAGACAAAAGTTCACAAAACTAAACTTTCATGCTTTAATGTATCATTCAGAGAAACGACAGTGCTGCCACTTTTGTCCATATTGCTAGAGTGTAAAGTCGAAGGAACTTGAGTATCTGCAGAATTCTCACAAAGAGGCTACCTATATAGGTTCTACCATAGATATTCTCCAATTGCCATATAAGTGTGAAATATACTTAACGATGAGATACAGGGATAGGTTGATGGAACCAGCTAAAAGAACTCGCCTCATTTAAGTATTCACGCAGACGTTTCAACGTACAGTTAGCCGCTGATAGTAATGTTTTTCTGGATGTTTCAGTTGGATCCTCCAGATCAGGTCTACGAATTGAATAGCATCCAGAAATAAGCAGAAAGATGATAGCCATGATATGCATCTGCAAAAAACATAAACCACACATGGTCATAACAGGATCAATATTTCCTATCGCTGCTTTTGACCACGCTCACTACCGAAAAGCCAGATTATGGCTCTCTACATGTTGTATACATAGACCCCTATGACTAAAAATAGCTGGAACTTAAGATCTCCATCTCTTGAATCCGATTCTACAATAGGTTACACTGATGTGCATCTTTAAGGATATGGTGCCAAGAGCAGGCAAGGAGTTACAGACCTCCAGTTGAATACCCAATGTCCACTCAGTATTCTCCTCAAAATCGACATATTTTGCTGGATGATAGGGATTCATCCACTGCATAAAGGAAAGAAATGGATGCATCATAAAGTAGAAAAACAAATCCTGAATTATGCGCCCATAACACCTCTGGCGTTTCTCGGCAGCAAGCAACATGAGCTTAAAGACATGCTACTATTTATACAGCGACAGCATGCAATCAGACTCAACACCAAGCGACTGAAAAGAAGATCTAGTAACTTCAGAGTAACACATGAGCATGGAGATTTTCGAAGAAGGCTCACAAAAGAAAGGTGTAAAGACGAAAACCTGAAGTGGGACAAGAATATCCAGGATAGACACAAAGACATCAGGCTGCTTTTCAAACAGATGTTGAGTAACACACTGGTGAGCAAAAACCAAACGCAAGTCTCCTTGAGGCCTCAAATACACCTACAGAACATATACACGATGGAGCTCATCTTCAGAGCAGCGTTTACATGACGGAAAATCAATCAAGCATCTTCTACGACGATTGGAAACAGAAATATCTCTAACTCAAACCATAAACTAACCTCCACAAGTCCCCCTAGGATAGTAATGCAGCTCAGACCAGCAGAAATCTCCAACGAAATCATATCATCAAGTGAAAAAAAAAAAAAAAAAAAAAGAAAAAAAAAGGAGGAAAGAGATAGGATGAATAGTTGATTACGCTAGCAAAACCAAAACCTCAGTAGATCAATATAGAATTACTAGGGAAAAGTCATTGTAGATCAATTTGGCATGAACTTGCTTCTACTGACCTTGTTCTCAATTTTTGGATCTCTGAGGTTCACGACGTTGGTACCCCTGTCACACAATGGACGTCCACACGTAGAAATCAAACTCATTCAGACATATAACAACTCGAACAATGAACCAAGCTTATCGTGAGCATTGCAACCCTAAATAATGAATACGAATATATGCCTTGAATGCTTCAAACATCAGTAAACGTTTTCAGTAAATACCTTGCTAAGCAGCGCTTCAAAATTTTACCCAAGACCATGACAAATAATCTTAGTAAATTCTTGCTCTCGATCAACTCCAGATTGGGAACATTGAAAAGTTGCACCATAACTGCAACAAACAAGAAGTATGATTAAAACTACAAAAATAGGCACTATCATGAGAAAATATCACAATCTGTAAGAGACTCCAGTTCTTGTCAATGCCTTCAGCGGGAAAATTACATGTTGGTATACCTCTATCCAGGCTTGAATCAAGAGCTTTGAAGTGCCTCACAAGAGGATCATCATTTCTGACAATCTTTTCAGTCACGCTCTCGAGCATCATTTGATAGTGATCCATGAGTTCTTCAGAGTACTGCTGTTTAAACTTTGGATCGTACAGCATCTGCAGGAACAAGGTTGTTTCCTGCATATCCATAACGCAAAGGAATTCCAGAAAACCGCAGGCATGATTAACAGTCCAAATGAAACTGCCAACATCAAACAATTTGAGAAAGCACAGGAATACAGCAGCTCATTATAGGCCAGACAATAAAGGTAAAATCCCCGAGACAATGCTACAGTCATAGTTTCAAAGATCCGTCATATATCGGAGTAGTAAGTAAGATCACGCTCATGCAACAAATTTGAAAAACATTACCCCTTCCATGATGTCTTCTGGCATACTAGCGAACGTTTTCATTAGAATCTGTAAAGGAGTTTTCACCTGCTGACAAAGAAGAAGCTTATTAGAGCAATGAGTCGAACTATCTCAAGTTTCAGTTCAAGAGTGAGGAATAAAACAAGATAAGATATGGCGCTAACTTTTTTCTGGAACATTCTGAAGGAAGACTCATGACAAGTTCTTCGAAGTAATCTGACCGAGTAACCTAAATTATTTTTGATTTATTTACAAACAGAATCGTCAAACTCATATCTAACGTACCGCAAAAACGGCACAGGCAGTACTTGGAAAAAATTAAGATTATGCTAAATTCCATGCAAACATCTCTACTTGTCGTGAGATTCAAAAGATTAAGTCTGATTTGAGCACCATACCTCTCGCATCTCCTTATCCTTGGCATTCCTCTGAACAATTTCGGAACACACAATTTTGCGGAGAGCATCCACGGAACATAGCTGAAAGAGGAAGTTCCACTGGAAACATCAGAGTAACACCAAACAAATTCGAACGTTTTGAAGCATACTTCAGCTACAAATGATTTTAGAATTGAATATAATTCAAAAGCATGAGTATCATGCTACTCAACCTTTGAAACTGACATTTCGAACAAAATGCCTCGCTAATCTCAAAGATGTAAAACCAAACAATAAAGTTCAGGTCCTCAAAAAGCAATATCTTAAGAAGTTCCCGACACTCACCCTCTTAAGCCAGTTGAGATAAATAGTAGCCACCTCTATCTTTTTCTCTGTAGAAACTGGTGGTCCTCCCTTAGTTTCTGGAATGTAGCTGACGATAAACGAAAACATAACCAAAACGCTGCTCACTGGTACACCCAATATCAGCTATTTGAGGAAAAAGTGCTTGCTCAGAAATAAGACATTCAATTAACTACTCGTGTGAATGCGGCACTCTATCATGTAGATGTTCCCACGAAAATGCATAATATTCAATATCGATACATTCATGACAGAGCCAAGTTGTTTTAATCTCATAAAATACATGGATTGTAACCTCTCAAGATACACCTCGTCAACAAACAAATGAAATGTTCTGAATAAGAAGTGATCTTCCTCCAATCCCATAATTGATTAAGCAATCACGCCAACGGTGATTTTTGTTTGGAGGAGAATAAGACAGTACATAAAATGTACACATATATAGTCTTTGTCGTTTTACATAGGACCCAAACAATAGTAAGCCATGAGTGGTTGTTCCGAGAGCAAGCTCTAACCTGAAAGTCTTGAAACACGCTCCAGATCAGCGGGTACACTGGATTCCGGACGATTGCCGATCCGGTGAGCACTACAAAACCTGTCCAGTACACACCAAAATCTCTTAACTTTTGCAAAAAAAATAGGAAAAAATACTGTCGCATTTTCAAGAAGCTACAACTCAAAAATCTTGGTTTGGACACAGATTACTTGTGGATTGTGAAATTATCGATAAACTAGAAGAGACCTTAAACTCAAACGGACAAGCATCTAAAGTTTAACCCCAGCCCAGTTTTCAGACCAGTCAACAGTTACAAAAACATCTAAAAAAATTCAAAATTTCTTCCATCAGCTTAGGATTTGGACAGATGTGGAAGCACAGGCTTGCGAAGCACTCATCCTAATACTTAATCCTGACTAGGTGCGACATCATATGATAGCTTTAAAAATTGTTGTGCTTACCCAGAAGGTTTCCAAGCTTCTGGATACCCGCAGTCACAGCACCCGCCTGACTCACTGTGATACATTACTGCATTTTTTGTCCTTGTGTTAGTTGGTGTAAGCCAAAATCGCAGATGGCACAAGCCACAAGTTAATTCCCAGGTCGGAGAATGTAAGAATCAGATTTATCCCACAAATCCCTGGGATTACTGATAGTTCTATGCAAGCAGACCTTGTCTGTGACGTAATTGACCTTATGTGAAACTACGTCAATTAAATCATATCAAACAACCAAGTCACATCAAAAAAGCATGGATCAATCATAGACTATACGTGGTTACATTTGCTCACCATAGTCATGATTTACATGTTGGCCTCTCGTGAAACAACCCATGCAAATAGCACTGCCAAACAATCACGCAAACGCTAGACATCAGAATGAGATTTCTTTTGCAAAACTCAGAACCAAGAAAATCTTTTCAGTAAAAAGTGCAATTTTAGACCATCGTGCATTCAGCCTCATGGTCGAGGCTCTAAGCTATGAGACTGAACAGTGATCGGCAATGATGAGACAAACCTAGAGTCATTAACTTGGCAAGTGCGGCAACGATAAGCCACAGTTTTCTTAGTCCACACCGTCGTGCATTGAGCCTGTCCAGTGGACTGCAACGCTTCCAGGTACTGCGAAAATGAGAGATTGGGAGGACACATTCGCTTTTCGTACACACGAAGTCTTTCCTGCGCCTTCTCCGGACTGAAGCATTGCGACCACAAGGAGAGGCTCACGCTGCACATTTTCACCCGCCACAGCCACCACGCATAGAGCTAGACAGAGGAAGAGAAAACGGGGATTTTGAAGCACAGTAAGAGCACCCGTTCTGTCAGAGAATCTTGCAATCCAGGTAGCCACACGAATCGGAGCTGACCTAATATAATTCGCAAATTCGTGAGAATCGCCGTGTGAATTCCGAGCGACACCAGAGCCACCCAGTCGGATAAACCTGCAGGCATGCGGGATGGGAATCAAAGGACCAAGAAAGCACGCCATAAGCAGGCTATTGAGGAGGCGAAGAGCTTGGAGATACATAGAATCGACTGCGTGCCATGAGGAACCAGCAAATCAACCCAGGCCGCACCAGTATCTCCTCCAAATGACAACGATCTCCTCCAATAAATTCTCGCTCAAAGACACCTAATTGCTCACAGCCATAAATTAGAAGGAGGCCCTGTTTCGCGATGGTCCAGCGTGCCGTATCCAGAATCCCATTCCAATATGGATTCGAAGCAACAAGCCACATACCCAGGTGGTGCACTCCCGAATTAAATACGTCCAACTAGCATTCGAAACAAACTAGATGACAAAATCCTCAAGCTGTAATGGTTGCACGCCCAGTTTGCCTCCACCCCACCTTCCCCTTCATACCCACATCGATATCACAATCGTCAATCAACCAGCCACAGCCGTAGCCCTCTCTTCCACACACACACACACACAGTGTGCTGTGAGACCGGGCACCACGAATCCCAAGCCTACAGTGCACTGAAAGCACTCCAGCAGCTGACACCCTAAGGAATCCAAGAGGAAAAACAAAGGCTGCACTCTACCTTAGATTTCAGAATCCCGACAGATTCCTTTGTTCCCAATCTGCCTTCCCTGCCTGCCTTACACCCATCCCAGACATCGAAGCTCTAACCCTTCCCTTCCCTTCCCTTCCTCCCCTTCTGCTTCCAAACCCTGGCTCTGACCTTTCACGACTTCTCCTGCTCGTCCTCCTCCTCCTCCTCGGTGGTGGACTTAGCCAATTTCACGCATCCGGAATTGACGAGTCCTCCTGAACAGGTCTTGCACATCCACATTCCCACACACACCCACACCAAGAGAAGAAACATAAACAGAAACAGAAACAGAAAGAAAAGCTACAAGTGGGATGAAGGGAGAAGATGAGGAGCAGTGCTTCACATCTCCCCAATCGTATATTCGGGTGGTCCCCGATTATCGGAATCTCTTAATTTCGGGAAGTCGGTAAATTCAATGAAAAGACCTCCTCCTCCTCCTTCTCAGAATGGAAAATTCGGGCAGCACAACAGAGGTGGAGAAGGAGAAGGAGAGGAGTGTGACAGAGCTGGGGCACCGGAGCACTCTTCCTACTAATACTACTCTTTCTTACTTACTTGCTTCTGCGTCGTCGGTGACGACACTAGAACTACTACTTCCTTCCCACATCGCAATGAATGCATGAATGTGGTGGACACTTGTTTCGCTCATATTTCACACAGGCAATAAATCAATATGTCTGTTTCTACGAGACACGGCGTCCCTCTCCCTTCCCTTGGGTGCCCAAATCATGCCCGTTTCTGTGCCTTTCTCTTTGTTACTTTTATCTCCCCGTTTTTTCCCCCCTATTTTCTCTCTTTTCTCTTTCTTTCCTTCTGCATAATGAAGGGGCTCTTGGATGTATTGGGAGACTCTGATTGACCATACAGCAAAGCAAAGCAAAGCAGGATAGATGGATGGATGGATGAACACATGGGTGGATTAATGTTTATGTATATATAACTGGATGGATGGATTGGTGGATGGATGGATTGGTGGATGGATGGGTTGGTGGATGGATGGATTTGTGGATGGATGGATTGGTGGATGGATGGATTTGTGGATGGATGGATTTGTGGATGGATGGATTTGTGGATGGGTGGATTTGTGGATGGATGATAATGGTGGTGTATTGTTCCACCACAATGGGGGTATTTGAGTGACACCCATGTTCCTAGTTTTTTCTTCTTCTTCTTCTTCTTCTTCTGTTTCCTCATTATTCAGCACTTCTTGTGGCATGTTTCAAACTTTTTGTTCCAATTTAGCTTGACTTCATTCAATGAATTGGCTCCAGATAGATTGATTGCTCCATCTAAAGTCCAACTATATTTTCCTTTTAGAAATTTTTGTTGGTAATGCCATGTGTGCTTCTGCATGGTCCAAAAGCATGCTACACAGTTGAGGGGTCATAATGTTTTTTATCTCATATATATATATATATATATATATATATATTTAATAGTTCTAAGAAAAATAAGCAGCCTTGACTAAACTAGTATAGGCTTAATCAATATAACAATGACGTATTCTATTTTTATGTTCTTTGAGCGACAAAGCATTCCCAAATTGATATTTAAACAAAAAAAATAAAATAAAATAAAAAAAAAAAATAATGTTTAGAGTAAAAAGTAAAATTTCAATTGGTTCCATTGCATGAATTTTGGCTTTAATTGTCTAAAGCAATGGCTTTGTACCACGTTAGTCAAATTCAGGTTGATTTTTTGGCTTGTGTATTATATTAAAATATTTTCTAATTTAAATGGAATTTGGAATAAAATATTTTAAATCATTTAGTAATTTAAATAAGAGTAGAAGATACGTGATTACAAAGTAATATTATAACTTTCTTAATGTTATATTATCTTAGGTAATATAATTCGTTTCAATAAAAAAAATATATACATATATATATATATATATATATATATATATATAGTTTTGGTCAAGAGATTAAAAACTCTTACAAATCAAAGATCTCATCATTTAAAGTCTTTGTAACAAGGAAAGAAAGGTTGGTATTAGGGATCTTTGCTTATCCAAATATAGAAAATATTTAAGATTTGAAATACATATGTTTTTCAAACACATATATTTCAATAGACATTGTTTATATATTTATTAATATTTTTTTAGTTTCTATACTTTTAAAAAATAAAAAAATACTATAATATAATATTGATTTCTAATTACAATTTAAAATAATAATAAGAGCCATGAACTATTGGATGTTTTAAGATACCTATTTTTAAAAGAAATTTTTATTTAAATAAATTATGTCAACCAAATTCAATGTTAGTCAAGTTGATAGAAGATAAAATCTAGATATACATAAGGATAATCTTAGATTATAAGAGATATTGTTCTTCAATATTAAATTTTGAGCAAATTGTGAAATATAAGAAAAAAATTTGGAAAATATGTGTAGTTCAGGTAAAGAGATTAGAGTATATTAAATAGTATTTGAGCTTAAAACAAGAAAAAAGAAAAAGAAAAAAAATCTAAACCTTGCAGAAATTTGTAGAGAGAATATAACCAAATACAATAATGTAAGATAGCAAGACCAAAGAACAATTTAACAATGCATTGAAACAAACATATTTTATTTGTAAAATATACTTTTATAAATACAAGGACAAATATTGTAGAATAAAGAGTCATCTTTTGTTAAAACTATGTTTTGTTTAGACCGTTTTGTGTAACTAAATTCTAAGAATTTTAAGTATGATTAATGGTCAAACTTATTATTATTATTTTTTTATTGTTTTTTTTGCTCAAAGAAAATCCATTCCATATAAAAAGATTCATAATACAATAATTTCATAATTGCCTATTCTAAAAAAACACACCCTCCAATGACAATCAAGTGACCTTTCATGAAAGCTATAAAAATCAATAACAAATTGACTTACAAAAGATGTAGGATTTTAAATATTAAACAAAGTAATTACTTTGACATTAAAATGATTCATGCTTATAGTCTTGAAAAATCACAATTTTTGTAGAAATACACACTTTGTCCAAACTCGGATTAGTATCAATTGTGATATCCATATCAATGCTTTATATATCATAATAAGAAAATATTGTAGGTGGAGCCATAAAATTTAATCTCAATCATTTAATCTTCATTAACTAAAATTAGTTATTTAATCTTCAATAATGTCTGAGTTCATGGAAATTATGAATACATCTGATAAAAATATATAATTGAATTAAATTCGAATCATGTGTACTCCACTTAATTCTTTGTAAACCACAAATAGCTATTCAAGCAATAGTCGACTAAGTAAAAGTGATTTCTAAAGTACCTATTAAGAATCAAGCTAAGATATTCAAGTCTACAATATAAAAAAATGGACCATCTCAAGAAACCATCATCACAACCATGGCCTTCATTCCAACCCCCCCTCCCCCATTCTCAGCTCTCATTCCAATTCCCCTAATTTTCTCTTGTTCCTCACAATAGAATGAGTTGGTTTAATAAATAGGTGGGTCATTTTAACATTTCCTTATATACATACATAGAGATATATAAGAAATATTGCAGCAAAAGACATAAGAATTTAAGTGTAAAGTATTTCCACAAGACATAGAAAATATTAAATACATTATATTACCAAACTCTTGTATGACAAGTGAATCTGGAGGAAGAAGGGAATAAAAACGGCAGGGGACGAGGGGGGGGGGGGGTTCAGGATGCGAGCGAGAGAGCTCAATATCCCGACAGCTCCTCCTCCTCTTCCGTCGCCTAGTCTCGTCAGACTGTTTGTAGTTGGCCTGCCACGCAAAATCTATGCTGTACAACCTACGACGGAATGGATGGAATGGAGTGTGGAGGGAGGGAGCGATTAGGCAACAACTGGCGAATCCCTGAGACCAGGGCTTTTTCTCTTCGTAGCCTTTCCGTGCTACACTCCCCGTTGTCGTTTGCCTGATGTTGCGTGCGTGCGTGAGAGCGTGCGCCGCGATCTATCACAGCACACACGGCTCTTGTGCCGAATCCGGAGCCGGATCGAACTGGACGAATCCACCACTTGCCAGCACGGTTCTGCCGGTTTTTCCAGACGGAATGGACCGACAAGTGTCGGACGCCGCCCTTCATCCTCCCCGCGTCGTCATCGTCCGTGATCCTTCGTTGACGGCATCGCTGTTGCTGCGGAAGCCGCTTTAGGGTTTCGTGCCCCGGAAAAAGCGGTTAACGAGCATTTTCCACATCATGTGCTAACAAAAAATATTGATTACAATTCGGACTTTTGAATGATGCAAAATACATGTGGGCTGGATAGTTATTGAGTTAATGCTTTATTTTTAGGGTTTTAGATATCAATGGAGCACTATTTTGTCAGAGACCAACTCTGTCAAAATAGTGCCCCTATTGATTGTGGAAGTAGACCTTGTTGGACTGCAAAGCAATCCGCGTTTGTTCACTCTCTCATTCATTTCTTCACTCTTTGTTACTGTTTTATATGTAAAACTACTACAACTATTCCATGATTTCCTTGCTAGTTCTTGCTTCTTCTTGCTTGTATGTATTATAGTGTGCAGTTGTTTGCATCCTTCTTTTGACTTTTTGACTTTTAGTATACATTGAAAATTTTGAGTTAGTTAAAATTAATATGTTGTTGCATGAAGTTATTCATCTGCTTGCATCGATGTAGTAGTACATGTTAAAAATATCAACCACAATTTTATTGAACTTTGGGAGATTTTTGGATGGAGAACTGAACACAAAGTTTTAGTCTATAGGTTGATATCATAAGTTTTACTTAAATCATCAAATTGTCAAGAAAATAATAATACTGGTACTAAGTAATAACTAATGGAACTTCAACTGATTGTAATAATTGTCATACATATTATATAATCAACACTTTGATATTTTGTATAAATGAATATTAAAACATTCATCTGTTAAATTTTAAGTTGATAATAAAAACATATTTGAAAAAACTTCCCCATTACAATCCAAGCTTTTTAAAGTAATATATTTTTTTTTTCTGTTTTTCCGGCAATGTATTTACAAGTTGATTGATTTGATTAATCTTTAGCTAAAGGTTGCTCTCTAAACATAGGAAGTAATTAGCAAGGCGTTTCCAGTTGTAATCTTCTAAAAGACACAAAGTAAGTCTTTCTTTTACCTTCACAATAAGTTTTTAATCACTCTTGTTTGTTTTTTAAGCAGCTTGAAAATTCTATGAGGATCAATAACTCAAACTACTTTGGCTTTTGACATGAAGATAAAACGTATTGAATTAATGTGTAAAGGACTATAAGTAATGGGTTCTTTTATTCATCAAAATAAAACAAATATATATAATTTTTGTATGTAATTTTTAGGTCTTAGAGTAGCTTTCTATTTCTGAATTTTATTTTATAATAGGAAAGATGGAACAAATTTGACAATAGTGTGTAGGCTTGTGTATATTTCTTTTTTTTCTTTTCAAAAAAGTTTTTCTCAGTATATTTATATCTTGATTTGTTTTTTGGAGAACATTTTAGACTATGGATCGCAAACATACAAATATAAATTAAGTTATCCATTGAAATTATAAAAACTAACAAAGGAAATGTATGAAAAAAATTGTCTACCTACTTTGGTACATGTGCAACCA